CAGGAACTCTCCCAGGTCTCCCACGCGGGTGCAGGGTCCCAAGGCTTTGGGCCGTCCTCGACTGCTTTCCCAGGCCACAGGCAGGGAGCTGGGTGGGAAGTGGGGCTGCGGGATTAGAACCGGTGCCCATATGGGATCCTGGTTCGTTCAAGGCAATGACTTTAACCGATAGGCTACTGTGCTGGGCCCCACAGTAATACATTGTAATGTATGGTAATATATAGTATAGTACTATGTAGTGACATATAATAACATATGATAATGTCTAAATATGCAGTAATCTATATAACAATATATGCCAATATGTAGCAATCTATGGTAATATGTATATAATAATATATAGAATGATATAGTAACATAGTTACACGGGAATAAAGAAATAATATATAGTTATATAGGAATATAAAATATGTAAAATGTATAATATATAGTAATATAGTTATTATACTAATATGTGGTAACACATACTTATAGTAACATACAGGAATACATAAAATATGTAGTCATATATAGTAATATGCAGTAATATAGAATAAGATTTATATAGTAACACACAGGAATATATTAACATATATGGTAATAGGTACAGTTGTATAGTGGTAACGGCTCTGTCAGCAGGAGTGTGGTCATCGCCGTGGGTGCCTGGGTCATCGCCGTGGCTGCCGCGGTCATCACCGTGGGTGCCCGGGTCATCTCCGTGGCTGCCGCGGTCATCGCCGTGGGTGCCTGGGTCATCTCCGTGGGTGCCCGGGTCATCGCCGTGGATGCCCAGTTCATCGCCGTGGGTGCCCGGGTCATCTCCGTGGCTGCCCGGCTCATCGCCGTGGCTGCCCCGGTCATCCGCATTGGCTTCCAGCAAGGAGGGACCCCAGCAAGCCCCTGCACACACAAGTTTAGGTCTCATTTTCTAACTTCCATGATGGGAATCCCCACACCCCAACAGTGAAGGAAGGAGAGTAAGAATGGGGGCAGAAAGAGGGGGAAGGCGGGCACACAGGTGGCTGCAACAGAAAAAAAATGAAACATGTGCTTTGCACTCAGGCCCAGGAGGATTCTGGTGTCAGTGGGAATGAGGCCCCTGGAGCACACCCACGGGGGGCTTGGTCAGTCCACGGATGCTGTTAAAGCCACCTGCCTCTCCATGCGTTCACACCAGTCTGGCACTGTGACCCGCGGGTGAAGCTGCTAGCACGGTCACCCCATCCTGAACTGGGGTTCTGCTATTCTACATCCAGTCCAGGCACCCACTGACACTCGTCCTGGGAGGCGGCAGACACGGCCCTGCTCCTCGGGGACCCTGCACCTGTGTGGGAGACCCGGTAGAGGCTCTGGCTTCTTAACCGGCTCAGCTCTGGCCGTGGCGGCCATCTGGGGAGCGAGTCAGCATTCTTGGTCTCTCTAACTCTTTCAAATAAAAGCTAAAACAAAATAAACAGACACAGGAACAACCCCACGGAGGCGCCAGCGTTGTGGCACATCACATTAAGCCTCTGTCTGTAGTGCTGGCAATCCACGCAGAGCCGGTTCAAGATCTGGCTGTGCCGTGTCTGATCCCATCCGCTGCTAAAGCAGAGTATGGCTCAAGTGCGTGGGCTGCGTGGGCTGCGTGGGCAACCTGGAGGAAGCGCCTGGCTCCTGGCTGCAGCCTTGCGTTTAGGAAGCAAATCAGCAGATGTATCTGTCCCGTTTGCTCTCTCTCTCTCTCTAATGCTGCCTTCCGAAATAATTTTTTCAAAAAAATGAAATGTGGAGGGCCCAGTGCGGTGTGGGGGCCGTTCATTCCTGGCTGCTCCACTTCCCATCCAGCTCCCAGGCTCCCCCTTGGCTCTCTGCGGGGCGTTGAGCCAGTGTGGGAGATGCTGGGGCACTGCCGTGGGCTTTCCTCCAGGAGACCACCACTCTGAGCCCAGGAGCCCTGGCTCTCACAGCACGCGTCCAGAGCGGGAGTGAGTCTGTCCCGTTTGCCAGACAAAGGGAGGAAAGGGGAGAGCAAAGAGAGAGAGCCGAAGCACCCAGCCTTCTTGGTGAGGTGGCACCCCTTCCTTTGCTGTTGCCCAGAGATGCCTGGCACTGGCTCACCCCGGGAGCCCTGGGGCCCTTGCACGCAGGCGCCGGTGACAGAGGAGGGGGACTTCCCTGGTCCCTGGCTTCTGCCTCCAGACCGTCTCCCCCACCCCGGATCTCAGCCCCTGGAAGGCTTGTCCAGGGCGGAGACGTGACCCCCCTCCAACCGCTTCCTCCTAGTGCCTCACCTCTGAGGTGTGCAGCCAGAGCTAAGGGGACCATGCCAGGCCCAGGAGCTCCAGGACAGTCAACAGGAGACATGCAGACCTAACTGGGGGCTGCGTCTCTCTAGCTGGGCCCTCCTGAGAGGCAGGGCTGGCTGGCTGGCGGGAGAAGCCACTGTGATGAGGAATCTCGGCCCTGGGTTCCATCCGCAGAACACACAGACCAGACAACCAGTGAATTCAGGGGCCAGCGCGACATCTCAACTGGCCAGTCTTCCACCTGCAGGTCCCGGCATCCTGTATGGATTGCAGCCACCTGGGGCAATGGACCACAGACGGGTGCTCTTCCTGGAAGAGTGCTCTCTCTGTCCCCATCCGCTTCTGCCTTGCTTGCAACATCAGATATTAGAGAGGAGAGACATGCAGACATTCAGTCACCTGCCCACGTCCTCCAGGCTGCCCGAGTGAGTCCCCACTTCGTTAGGTGCCAGGGTGACCAGCTTGAGCCTCGCTCTCCCAGCCTGCCCCGCAGCCAGGGGTGTCCCAGAGACACGGGGTCCCAGCTTGCAGGACTCATCCCGGCGTGGGTACAGACATTCCGCTGGAGCCGAGACCCAAGGCGGGGACACTGACGAATGTTCCTCGAGGCGGCTCTGCCCTCCGCTCAGGAGGACATGGGGGGAGTGCCAGGGATTTCTTCGACTGTCCTAAGGGGAAGGTTGCCGCTGGCATCTCATGCGTAGAGTGGGGACGCCGCTAAAACCGGAACCCACCGGAACACCTGACTCCTAAGAAGAAACGTCAGTGCTTTTCGAAAAGCTCGAGGGGAAACGGAATGAAGCCTCTGGAGCAGGCATTCGGTCCAAGGATGTGGGCACGCCTTGCCTTCCAGGGGCAGCCTGGGTCCCAGTCCTAGCCACCCCTGGGGGCAGCTGCCACAGCCCACGTCAAGGGTTTCCCCGCCACCCTCGGGGGACACCAGGATTGCCTCTCCTATCTCTGGGTTTCAGCCCAGGGCACTCCCAGGTCTTGCAGATATCTGGGAAGCAAACCAAAAGATGGAAAGCTCTCTCCCTCAAATAGAATAAGTATTTCCTATTGGCAAAATAAACTTTAAAAAAAATTCATGCCCCAGCACAGTAGCCTAGCAGCTAAAGTCCTCGCCTTGCATGCGCCGGGATCCCATGTGGATGCTGGTTTGTGTTCCAGTTCCCTGTTTGTGGTCTGGGAAAGCAGTCGAGGACAGCCTAGGGCCTTGGGACCCTGCACCCATGTGGGAGACCTGGAAGAAACTCCTGACTTCAGATCGGCTCAGCTCCGGCCGTTGCGGCCGCTTGGGGAGTGAATCAGTGGGTAGATCTTCCTCTCTGTCTCTCCGATTTTCCAGTAAAAGTATTTTTACAAACTTCAATGTTTTTCCCTTCTCCCATGAACTTCATGAAGACTCTACACAGGTACTCAAACAAACTTGTTTTATACGTTTGAGTATTTGTTTTATTTGAAAGGCGGAATTAGACAAACAGATCTTCTATCTGCTCATCCCACCACCTGCCAAAACGGATGCAAGGCTGGGGCTGGTCCAGACCAAAGCCGGGGGTCCCTGCACCTTCCACACAGGTGGCGAAATGACAGCCCCACGGGATGCTGACATGAAGGAAGCAGCTTAACCTGCTGCCTACTCATGTTGGCTGCAGACATCACTGACCGAGGACACCCCGGGCTCAGCTCCCGGCAGCAACTGCCCTGCTGGCCACGATGGTCCAGGGGTGGTCGGAGGCAGAGAGCTGGCCAGCCAGTCTGTGCCAGCCTTCACCTCTAACTGCTTCACCTAACTCCACTGAAAAGAGCGATTTATTCAAAAGGTAGAGTTACAGAGTGAGAAAGAGACCTCCAATTGGCCACAGTGGGGCCAGGCTGAAGCCAGGGGCCCGTGGTTCCACCCAGGTCCCCTAGGCCGATGCAGGGTCCCAGGCACGTGGGCCACCCTCTGCTGCTTCCCATGCACAATGGCTAGTGGCACAGCCAGGACTCCAACAGGATGCTGGCCACACGCACTGGCAGTGCCACTGCCTGAGCCAAGGCCAGACCTTGCTGCCCATCCTGCCTACGCACTGCCCCTCCCTCCTGAAGTTCCCGCCAGGTGACCACAGTGCAACTTGCAATACAAACCAAGTCCGTTTTAATGTAGAAAACACAGCATACACGCATAAATATCACTTGGGGTATAAATAAAGTACGAAAATAAGAGATGTATGTGTCAGAATAAATTACTCATAAATAGCCACGTTGGCACCTGCTCCTTGATGTTGCTGGAAGCGGTGGCTGGGGTGGGTAGAATCGGGAACAGGGTGCAGGGCCTGGAGCCCCATCCCATAGCACCCACGGGTGGGTCTGGAGCCCGACTCCATCACCTCTCAATCCTGCAGCCACGTGACCAGGAGCTGCTGGGGGTGCACAATGACCTCTCAGCGTGAACACTTGCCTGTTGAGTTTTAAAACCGCTGTCCCAGCTCCTCTGTGCTGGAAGTTGCTGAGAGACTCAGCCAAGAGGAGAGCGAGCCCCACCAGCAGAGAGGTGTTCAAGCCAGGGGAGCTGGGCAGACAGGAGGGAGGGCTTGCAAATTTTATAATCGAACCCAAGTCTGGAGGATTAGAAACCAGTCCAGCCTGGGGCAAAACTTGAAATATGTACAACTTCTAAGCGATTCTTCCTAGAGCTAAAGCAGATTATAAGACTGGGGACTGTCCCAGGTGACGCCACACGGGCCCGGGTCACTTCTGGAAGCTGGGGCTCTTCACCAGCCCCCGCTTGGTGGCCATTCCAAACGGGTCCATGCTGTCGGTCTCCAGGGGCGAGAAGGGCTCTGCTTGCGGGTGCTCGGCCGGGGCCGCCGCTTCCTCGGAGGCCGCGGGCAGCACCGGCAGGAAGTGGGACAGGGGCAGGAAGCCCCGGCTGCGCTGCAGCTGCCTCTGCCTGGCGCTGCCCAGGGATACGGGCAGCTGGTACCTCCTGGAGCGGTACACGTTATAGCCGGAGCTGATCTCCTCTTCGAAGGCGCAGTCCTCCTCCGAGTACTGCAGCTGCGGAAGACAGGGGTGGTTGTGAACACCTGCCCGCTCCCACACCACATACGGACCCTCACTCCCCAGGGACCGCGCGAAAGGTGCGCTTCTTTTTATGTAAAAGGCCGCGCGCGCGCACACACACACTAGCAACGTCACACAGGTACGTGGCAGCCCCACCTGGGCCCTGAGCTGCAACACCCAGGAAACCGCAGCTGGGGAGAGGCGTGCTTCTCTCTGCCCTGTGGACACCCCCGGGGTCACCCCTCTGCGGCACGCGTGGCACCATCGGGAAGAGCGCTCAGAACCTCCCCCACTTCCTCGCAGGGGCCGGGCCCCACAGCAGCTCCCTCCCTCCGGCTCCCCACCCCCTACCCCCACTCATTTGCTCGGAGAGCGCGGGCAGCCAGCCAGGAAGGGCAGCCCCTCCCCCCCTGGCGAGGGACAGAGCCTGGACCCAGCGGGGAACCGGAAATGTGTGGGGGAAGCGGAGGGGGAACGCGCGGCCCTGGCCTCGGCCAGCTCTCCGGCATCACCCACCCACGAGGGCAAGAGGTCAGCGCGAGGCGGGGAGGGCCCCACGGAGGTCAGTGAACTGCAGGTGCCCAGCGCGGGCGATAAGCCGCCGCCACGCCTGCACTCGGCGCGACTGTCCCCCGACAAAGCCTCGGCCTCCGCCAGGATTCTTGTTGAATTAAAGGAAAAAAAAAAAGTTGGGGTGGGGGCGCCCTTCCCTTCTCCAGGCGGGGAGAGAAATTAATTCCACGTTTCTCGCAGCCGTCTGCATTTGTGCTCAGCCCCCAGCGAGGTGGGCGCGCAGATGTCGGGCAGGCCAAGGATGTGAGGGGAGCCGGCGGGGGCCTCTTCCCCCTCCTCGCCTCGGATTAGGGGCAGGAGGTGGGGGTGGGGTGGGGATTAGAGCCCAGGTTTCCTGCGCGCCCCTTCCACCCCGACGTCGAAATAACAAAAGTGGCGGGGCGGGTGTCGTCTTTCAGCTCCTCCCCCGCCGGCTCCTGGCACGGAGAGCCAGCGCTCGGCGAGCACGCGGCGGCCCAGCGCGCGTCCCCCGCGCCCTGCGGCGCACAAAAGGCCGGCGGCCGAGGGCGGGAGCGGCGTCTGCCCCGGGCCCCCTCCGAGGGACCTCACACAGCCGCCCCGCAGCCGCCGAGGGCGCGCTCCTTTGAACTCCCAGCCTTTGTCCCCGGCCCCGGAGCCTCCACACTCACTTCCTGCCCCTGCCTGGGGAAGGCTGGAGGTGTCACCTGCATTTCCCCAGCCACGCGTCCTTTGGAATCCAGGTGTGCGCACCAGGGAAGGAAAGCCCACGTGGCAAGGTCACGTTAACCCACCTGCCTTCTTCTTATTATTTTTCTTTTTTTTTTTGCCTCCCTCCGCTTTGGTTTCAGACTTTTTAGAATATATATAATTCGCAGATACTCTCCCTTCCCCCCTTCCCTTTTTTTTCCATGGGGGGGGGGTGAGGTTGAGGACCACACACGTGCGCGCGGCAGAGGCCCGAGGTAGGCGCTTTCCTGTTTTATATCAAAGGAAAGCCAAGAAAGGACTTCTTCTTAGCGGCTGCACCCCCCTCCACCACGCCCTGCACTCCGAGTCTTCTCTCTGCTGGCTGGGTTCCACGCACGGCTCGACCCCGTGAGCCCCGAGTGGAAGCCGGCGGGGGGGGGGCACTTACCAGGCCCCGCATTCTGCCGTCGGCGCCCATGCACAGGTACCGTACGCTGTGCACCCCCTTGATGGCCACGGTCCGCAGGGCGACAGCTCGAATCTCCAGCAAACCTGGACGCAAGAGGAGCCACAAGTTATTACAGCGGGGACCCGCGCGCGGGAGCCCGGCAACACGTGGGTGCCGGGGACCCAGGCTCGGATCTACCCGCCGAGGTTCTCCAATTTGGGGTATCCGCAAGCGGGGAATGCGGAGGACAGGGGAAGTGGGCGCAGGATGTGGCTCCGGGCGGGCGGGGCGGGGGGCCCGGCGGCCCGCACTCACTGTGCGCGCTCTGGCTGCGCTCGCAGTCCACGGTGCCGTCGGTACGGATACGCAGGAAGCAGTGCGAGAGGCCGTGGGCGCTGGTGGCGTACAGGTGCCGCAGGCGGATGGGCTCGCCCCAGCCGTAGTGCAGGTGCGGCCCCGCGTCGGACAAGACCAGGGGCCGCCCCGTCGCGGCCAGCCAGAGAGCGGCTAGAACCAGGGCGCGGGCCATGGCTCCTCTGCTCCGCATGGGCAGCTCCCAGCGGCTGGCGGCGACGGCGAGCGGGATGCGCTGCGGGCCTGTGTGTGCGCAGCACTCTCCGACGGCGCGGCGGCTTCGGGCTGGCAGCCTTGCACCTCGCGCTGGTGTGCCTGGCCTGGCGGGACGGTGCCCGCGGCCCCGCAGCGTTTCTTATCGTGACCGCCGCAGGCCTCCGCCCCCCGCACACACCCATTCACACCCCGCCTCCAGCCCCAAACCCAGCCCCCTGCCCGAACCCGATCGTCCCTCCCAGCCCCCTCCGGATCTGCGGGAGGAGGTGGAGAGGAAGGAGGAGGTGGAGAAGGAGGAGGGGTCGCTTTGGAAAATGAGGAAGGCGGTCCAGGCCCCTGGACACGCCCGGCCACGGGCGGCTGGAACCCCGCGCCCGCGCTGGGCCTGCGTTGGCCCACGCGCCCCGCTCCGTCCGTTAGCGTTCCCCGCGTCGTTCAGACCTGCTGGCGTTCTCCCCACTTTTTCATTTGTGGCTGCCCGCCGCTCCCCCGCCCCCGGCCCCTTCGATCGGGTCCAGGGCCCCCCCGACGGAGGCCTGGGCGCGGGCTCCGGCGGCGCAGACAATGGGGCGCGCTTGGGGCCTCGCGGGCACTAGATGGCGCCTGCTCCCCAGGTTCGGCCTCCCCGTTCCGGACCCGCTGGGACCGGAGGCGTTTGGGTGCTGGGGTCCCCACGCGCTAGGGATGGGGGACGCCCGCGCTGCCGAGGCCGGCCCGGGGCGGGGCGAGGAGCGGCTCTGCGGCTCCGGGCGGCGGCGTCCCAAGCACCGCCTGCCGAAGGGGCCTGGGCGCACCCCTCCATTCCTCCTCCGTCCGCTCCTGGTTGGGGGTTGGGGGCGGTGGAGACGTGGCGCGCGGCACCGCGCCAGGCTGGGTTTCGATGAGCCGAGGCGCGAGCAGGCGGGGCCGGTGCGTGGCGCGCCGCGGCTGTGTCGGACAGGGGGCGATCACAAAGAGCTGTGGTCGCGCGCGGGACCCCCGTGCCGCGTGTCTGGCTTCAGAAAGCCGTGGCTTCCCATGAAATCGAGTTCCTCCCCGTCTGTGGCTCCTGCGGCCTTGGGGGAAAGAGTTAGGGTCGGTGCGGGCGCCAGCCGCTTTGGGGCGCAAGGCCCCCGGAGGGGACCGGAAAGGGGAGGAGGTGGTCGCAGCCCTTGGCTACACCGACCCGCTCCCGGCTCTGCGCGCTTCTGAGGGACCCGGGGTGGTCTCCGGGGTCAGGGCTGTGTAGGCATCTTGGGACCGTGCCGCGCTCCCCTGGATGCCCCAACTCAGGCAGGTGGAGGACCTGGGACTGTCCCTGGTCACGCTTGCTGGTCTTCGGCCCGCGCTCCCTCCGTGGCCAGACCCCCGCCGGCCACTCCTTGGGGGAGGCCGTAGACCCCCCTCAGGCCGCCCGACACCCCATCCCCGGGGCGCACGAGGAGACGCAGATGGACCGTCTGCAGAGGTGGACAGACACGGACGGCGAGGGCCGGTGCCCGGGGGAGCCGGGTACCCCAGCCTGGGCCAGGAGAGCCAGCAGGGGGCGTTGTGGTCAGCTGTTTGAGCTCCACGGGCCAGGACCTGGTCCAGGCCCGGTCCAGGCCCCGGGTCCCCTGGGCGGACTTCAACTTCCCAGGCGTAGTTGCATTCGCTGCTGAGCGTGCTGACCTGGAGTCCTGCCGCGGCCAGCAGGTTGCTCGCTCACAGAGGGGCCCCTGGCTTTGAGTCGTCATAGCTGATTCCTGGCCATGTTAGGAGGGAGACTGGGGGATTCCTGAATTTTAGCTCTCCCACCCCCTTCTTTTATTTGTGAAAAGACCTGGTGGTTCACTTTTAGAACCGGAGCTGGGAGCTTTGTCTGCTTCTCCGACGAGGGTGGCAGGGAGCGGATGGTGTGAGCCAGCCCTGCTCTGTGCCAGGGCGTGGGTTAGGGTTAGCGGGAGAAGGCAGTGAGGAGCCCCAGTTGTGTCATTGAGATGCATTTATAGCAATTCAGAACTGTGCAACTACCAAAACGATTTGAGCAGGACCCTCGGAGCATGCCCCACAATCGGGGACCCCGGGGTGGCTGGGAGGCTGGGTGGGGCTTCTCCCCGTAGCTCCCCCTTCCCCCAGGTGCAGGAAGGAACAAAGAGGATGTCAAAACAGTGACCTCACCCACTTTCTTCCAGCCCTTGACCCTTTGCGCCCTAACCAAATATCTGAAGATGATCAACAAAATAAAAACAAGAGAAATATATATTTATTTGGCAAAAAAAGAAGAGATTGAAGTGCATTTTAAATAGATTATTTGAAACGAAGAGAGTCCATTGATGTACTTCCCAAATGCCCTGAACTGCCGGTGCTGGACCAGGTCAAAGCCAGGAGCCAGGAGCTTCTTCCCGGTCTCTCGCGTGGGTGCAGGGTCTCAAGGCTTTGGGCCGTCCTCTGCTGCTTTCCCAGGACACAAGCAGGGAGCTGGATGGGAAGTGGAGCAGCCGGGACTAGAACTGTCGCCTGTGTGGGATGGCAGCATCGCAGGTAAAGGATTGGCCTACTACGCCGTAACACTGGTCCCTAATTTGACACATGTATCTACACACACACACAGGGGGGCATAACACTGGTCCCTAATTTGACACACGTATCTACACACACACACGGGGGGGCATAACACTGGTCCCTAATTTGACACACGTATCTACACACACACACAGGGGGGCGCGACAGAGGGCGGGCAGCAGATCTTCACTGCCCGAATGGCAACTGCAGCCAGGCCGGAAAGGGGCCGGGAGTTTGTCACTCTCCCCCGTGTGGGCACTAGAGACCCAGCGACTCGAGCCACCATCTGCCATCTCCTGGTAGGAAGCTGGGGTCAGGCCCCAGCCATGGGTGCTCTGATGGTCTGGGGTGCGGGCAACTCCACCGTGGTGTCAGACACCTCTCTCCACATGAAGACATTCCAACTGGAAAGCCCAGAGCAGGTCCGCTTAGCCCTTGGGGACTGGGTCAAATCCCGGCTGCCCCTCGTCTGCCGCTGCCTGCCGAGGGTGGGGACGGTGGCCGCTGGCCCTCAGGGTGACCGCAGGGAGTGCCTGGCGGAGCACGAGGCCACGTGACCACAGCTCTCCTTTGGGCTCTGAGTCCCCCAGGCGATGGACAGGGAGTGAGGATGGAGACTGGCCCTGGCTGGCCTGCAGTCGGGGAGGGCGAGCGTGGCTCAGCAGTGAAGATGGGTCAGAGTGTCCCGGATTCGAGTCTCCAGCTTCCCCATGAGGCAACAGGTGACGGCCCCAGCCTGGCACCTGCCTCGCAGGGAGAGTGAGGCTGGCCTCTCGGGGCGGGGGAGAGGGCTGGACCCCACGGCGGCGGTATTAACTGAAGTCCCCTTCTCCTGACATACCTGTCGTGTCAAGGGGCACCTCTGGGAGCCAGGCACCCACCGTGGCTCGCTGTGGGAGAGAAGTGGGCTGGTGGGTGGAGGACCAGTCATCCCAGGGCGAGGCAGAGCTGGGCTGCCGGCTGCTGGACGCACACGCCACTTCCTGGAAGACGCCTGGATCCTGGTCAGACCGACAGATGGACTCAGGGTCTTCAAGATTTCCTGCCAGAGTCCGCTGCTCCTCCAGCAGGTGGAATAAGAAGCCGAGAGAAGACCAGATTTGCAAGTTCGTGTCCCGGCTGCTCCACTTCCTGTCCAGTTTCCTGCCAATGTTCCAGGGAAGGCCTGGGCCTGGGTCTGGGGGAGAGCTGGAAGGAGCTCCTGGCTTCAACCTGCCCCACCCCCGGCTGTGGCAGCCATCTGCCGTACGTCAGCAGATGGAAGGAGACTCTCATCTCAGCTCCTGCCTGGCACTGGCTCGAGGCACCTGCTGGCTTCCCAGACTCCCCCAAGGGGGCTCAGGTCCCCTTAGTGACGCCGACTCACTTCCGGAGGTCAAGGCTCCAGTGGTGGTGGGTGTGTCTCCCACGGCCCAAGGAGGGCTGGACTACTTGTGGTGCGGCCCCTGGGCAAGCTGGAGCCGCCTCCAGGGCTGGGAGCTGCTCTCCTAGGCACACCTCCCAGGGAGCCGCTGGTGCTCTCGGCCACTCCTGCGGGGTATCCCACCCACACGCTGCCAGACCAGCACGCTGTGCTCCCCTCACAGCAGCTCTCCAGAGAAGCCCAGGTCTGCTGCCCAGTGCTCCAGCTGTCAGAGCCCAGCCCCTTCTACCATGGGGAGACTGAGGCAAAACTGCGGGTTGCTGCTCCAGCAGCAGCAGGGGGAGGGGGTCCCTCCCTGTCCCTCCCTGTCCCTCCCTGCCCCTCGTCTTCCGCTCCTCCCAGCCATGGACACTGGTGGGAGAGCAGGCACGACCAGTGACGGTGCCAGCCTGGAAAGCCTGGCCTGTGAGTGCAGTATCTGGTTCCCATGACTGCTGTGTGTCTCAGGGTTTTTACTGGAAGCTTCCTTGCCAGACGGTCGCCCTCAAGGTTCTCTCCTGCCCCTTGGACTCAGGCCGCAGGGCCTGAGTGCGGTCCCTGGCTGACGTCTCTGGCAGTCCTGAAGTCACCTGGAGACCGACCCCAACACCCTTGCCAATGCCAACTTTCCTGGTCAGCTCTCAGAGCCAGGCATCCTTGCCCAGTGCCCGTGGGCTTCACACAGGGACTGCTGGGCTGTGCACCTGCCCCGGGGGTGGTGGAAGCAGCAGTGACCACCCAGGCCAGGGGCCCAGCTGACTCCTCCCTGCATTTCCTGGCTCCCGCCGGCTCCGGTCCCTGCCTGGCCGTGGCCTGGTGCCTCCCCGCTGGCTCTGGTCCCTGCCTGGCCTTGACCCTGCTCAGTCCTGCTCCCAGCCCAGACTCAGGGCCTGTTGAGCTCTTTGGCTGCAGGTACACTGCCCCTTCTGTCAGACATGGTCATGGCTATAGCTGCAGGTAGACCCACCTTTGGGGGGCGCCATCTAACTGATCATACACTCCAGCACTCAACATTTGCCACTTCTGGTACCCAG